ATACATAAAACCTAAATAGGATGTTTCTGGCAGATCGGTGTTATTAGGGAGGTACATTGTGTAAGTGATAGGCGGGATTTTGGGAAAACTTATCCATCGTCCAAACGGGCTAAACTTTCTGTTTTTTTTTAGACCCACTCTAACACATTTCAAAATACTTTTTTTGTCCTGGAAATTAAATGACATGTGAAAAATAAAAAACCCTAACTAATTTATCTAACTTGTGCGGCTTCGCAAAATAATATACATAAAATGAGAAAAATTAACCCAACCTAACCTGTGACATCGATGAGACCAGGGTAGTTATTCTTGAATTCGAGGGAATAGAAAACCGGTTTTTCCTCTTTATCTGCAGCGCACAAAATGTGTATTTTTGTCTCACTCTTCCATCAAAATTTCTACTCCCTGAGATTCAAGAATAGATACCCTGGAGCCATTACTGCTTGCGTGCCAACCGTGAAGTCATGTCAAACAGGTAGGTACATATTTTCAAAAAAATATTTAAAAAAAAATGAACGTAGATAACAAAGTATAAAAATTATAAAAAGTATAAAAACTTTAAAAAAACCTTCAAAGAATTAAAAATTTTAATTTTATTTATTTTTAAAATCATACATTTTTCACAATTTGGACTGGATTCAAAAATTTTTCCCATTTGTGTTAAAAATTCCCGCAAAACGGGAAATTTCCCTTCGGTTGGCAACACTGGGACTTAGGATGAAATAAAATAACTACATTACATAACCCATATTTGTCTAACAAATCAGAAATTCTTCATTAAGTGTTGGCCTTTTACAATATAACCCGTTTAGCAACATTTTGTGTAACATTTATGCTATGTTCCAGAAACATTTTCAGTTAAATATTTAACTAAAATATTTCAGAAATATTTCAGAAATATTTCAGAAATATTTCAGAAATATTTCAGAAATATTTCAGAAATATTTCAGAAATATTTCAAAAATATTTCAGAAATATTTCAGAAATATTTCAGAAACTTGTGCTTGAAATGTTATACGTTTGAAATATTTCTGAAACTCTTCTGAAATAATAGGTTCTTTCGTTGGTCCCACTGGTGTAGGAAACTACACCAAACCTTCTTCTTTTTTTAGTTTTTTGGCCTCCACCCTTTAGGTTTTTAGCTAGCGCACGTAATTTAGCTTATATTTCGGGAATATTAATTGAAGAATGTCTGGAATTTTCCATCTTTACATCAATCCTTTCGTTTGGCCCGGTATGAAATCCACTATACCTTTCTGTCGGTGATGTGTCCACTGGTGGATATTTTCTCTACCAGCTATTTAGCAGGAGTGAACTACACTCGATATGTGTATAAAAATTAAGGAGGGAAGTAAACTAGCTAAATAAGGTGGTGTAATTGACACTGGTGCAAACTGCACCAACAGCGGATGAAAGAACCTAATGTGTGCTGTATGAGATACTCTACTCCGGCTTCACTCAAATATCTTGGCTACGCTGCACGACCTAAATACATACAGTCTGTTCGCTATACTTACGCGGGTTTCGGATTAAAAATTTTATGAGTATTTCCAGGTAAATACCCGAAAGTTTGACCTGTTCTTTGGGGAGCAGAGTTAAACTTCTTCATTAATGGAGTCTAATGTGGCTATTATAAACCTAATAATAATTTTATATTACACTTCACACAGAAAATATGGTCTATGTCTAATAAGAAGGTTATTTAGCTTAAATAAAATATTTTCTAACATTAAAATTTGTTCCATGTAGCGAATTTCAAATGAAAAATAAAAAAATTAAACTTGCCAACGAAAATGAAAATCACTCATTATCATCCAAAATATCATAATCGTCATCATCATCACTGTCATTACTATTAATTGTTATTATGATTGGACTTATTTCGCTCATTTTATTCTCACGAGTCCACCAATCTTCTATTAGTTTCTCGCACTTGGATATACAGTTCCGCCACACTTCTGGAGTTGCAATTGAAAGTGCTTTTCGCCAAGTTTCCCGAACTGCGCCGTCACTATAACCATTAGGCCCAATATGGTTGTCATAATATTGTTTTGCTATTCCCCATATATATTCGATGGGATTAAACTGGCAATGATACGGTGGCAGACGTAAAACTTGATGACCGTAACTTTCAATAATCTGATCCACAACAAATGATTTTGGTTTTGCGTGTATATTTGCCAAGCGTAATAATTCTGATTTTAATATATATATTGAGGAAATGGTATATGTTCCTTTGACAACCATTCTTTAATTTTATCAACAGTCCAAGAATTCGTTGGACTTTTGTTTAATACTTCAGAATGATAAGGTGCATTGTCTAAAATAATTACGCTGGGCTCACTTAAACCTGGGAGAAGTTTTTCATGCAACCATTTTACAAACATTTCTGTGTTCATATTATCGTGATAGTCACTGGATTTTGATTTAGATGAAAATAATAAATCAGCACCTTCTATAAAACCCGATTTCCCTCCTGCATGTAAAATTATGTGTCGCTTCCCTTCTCCATCGGTATGTTTGATGGACTATACGTTATCATTTTGCCATATTCTCCCCTAGAAAATATCCATGTTTCGTCTAAATATATAAAATTCGTCCCTTCTTCTTTAAATTTAAAATATTTTCTTAGAAAGTTAATTCTCTTGTGCACGACAGAACTTGTTTCACAAAGGGCCTTTCTGTTATCCTCCTTTTGAAATTTGAAACCCAAGTTATGTATCACTTGCCATAGACTTGTTCTGCCAATGTCGTCAAATTTTCTATCTATTAATTCCGAGAGAATTGTATTTAAGGTCACATGTTCCTTGTTGGTCCTCATTCGATAAATGGTATCACGAATTTCAAATTTCTTTCCATCTGGAATATCTTTCGTTTTCATTGATGGGCGAGTTTTGTGATGATCTTCTTTCGGCAGTTCACTATTGTGATTTTGTAATACTCCTCTTAATTTGGTTTCACTAAATCCTAGAGCATCGTATACGCGTTGTTGTACAGACATTATTACCGATTTTAAAGGACCGCCATTTTCTTTTTCATCCGTGAAATACTTATGTACACTACAAATTAGACTATTTACATCTAACACACGTCTAGGCATTTTAAAAATTTCCACTAAATTTACAATGTCAACACTTGCAAAGAATCAATTCAACTGCAATATTTGTAACAAATTTAGTACCTACCCTAATGTTTTTTACTTTAAATCTGACCGTTAGGGCAATTTTACCTAATTTATTGGGAAGAGGCTTATTGGAACTGGTTGTCAATGATTAATATGCATAATTTTGTTAATCCGAAACCCGCGTATAGCGAACAGACTGTACTGACTTCATTCTACACGTATACAAAGGAGCAAAGCGTAGATTTTCGTAGCCTTCTTACATATAAAAATTCCCTATCTGATACCTACGAGCGCGAGCGATTTATATATTAAAACAAGTTTTTTTCAATGAAACAAAAATCTATCAATAATTAGGTGTTTTCTATATCGGTTATGATGTATAAATAATTCAAAAGAAAAATGTCAAACGTAGCAATTTATTTTCATAGTTTTCTCGGAATTTAACAATACGACTGCACGTAAACAGTAATTTTACATAAAATAAGGTTCTTAATACCGAAGGAAAAAGAATAATAAGATAAAGAATTATATAGGGGTGAGTGAGGAAATAATGCAATATTTTTACTGTTAATAATTTTTCTATACCGAGTGATAATGGGACTAGGGTCTTGTTAATTTAATATTTTTTAATTATAAAGCGATTTGGATCTAATTTGAGATAAATACATAGTGATCAGAAAGGGGGACTTCTTTTTATCGTATCCTCCCACTGTCATGCGTCATTCCCCTCCCCTCTATCACTATTGAAGTTGCTCGGTTTTTAAAGCTGAGCCAAAAGGGCATCTAATTTCTCTCTTTAAAACTCATCTCTTGCATAATTAATAACAAAATATTTGTATTTTAAGAAGCCAAAAATTATGTTCAACAAATTTTTGACACTTCTCTTCTTCAAGATAATTGATATTGTCTTTTTTTGTATATCCTGGAGCCACTGTGGGTTGCTTATATCAACCCGTAAACTTTTGCTTGCTTCCCTCTGATTTCTCGGCTATGTTGCGAAAGAGTCAACTTTAATTAACCGACCTTTTTCCTATCATATACGTTTTCTTACCCTATGTGGCAACACTGCATTTACAGAAACGCCAATTGTAGGTACTATTGTTATTGAAATTAAATTTCTTGGTAGTTTATCTTCTAACGATTTAAAAAACGAAAAATAAGAAATTATAACTGTTTATAAATAAGTAATGTGCATTTCAGAAAGATTCTAAGTACCTACATTTTTAATAGTTACTATTATCATAGAAAATGGGTAAACAAATTATCCACGTGCGCTCAACTTATCTATTGTTTAAATCGGCATGTTTGTTTTCATTTTGATTAGGTACCTAGATACCTACCTATCTATAAACGAGTATGTAGGTATTTAAATTTAATTATTAAATCTAAAATCATAAAATTGACAAAAAAATTATAAGTTTCGTATTGTAATTTATTTATTTATTCAAGATCTTTCCAATATTTAATCGTATTTTATCTGAAATACCTAATAAAGGCATAACATTTTTGTAAAAACTTGAAAACACGATTCCAATACCTATCCCTTGCACGGAGTTCTGGTGCGCCCCTCGTATTTTAGGTACCTAACCGTCTAAAAAATATCGCAAGAATATCCAAGTAATCACAATTTATTTGAGTGGGCATTAGTCAAGAACTTGCAAAACAAATCTCTAAACGAAATTACAAACCGTAGTAATGAAATAATTAGTCTATTCATCCTACATGCGCGCGATTTTTCATGTAGATATTTATATAAAATAGGTACCTGTAGAATAAATTGACAATGCTAAAAAAAGCCATCTTTCAAAAGTCAGCTTGATGATGATCGCTAAGAAGAAACCAGAAGTATGAATGGTCCTCAATAGATAGTAAATAAAAAGCCGTGTACCATGCGGCATACGAAGCCGAGGTCTAATTATATAACTATAGAATACTCGGTACGAAGGTACAGTTAGTTACCTTGCAGAGACTGTACCTGTATCTGATTGGCCACACGGTTCAGGTAAATGTATACGCTGTCTCTTGCCGAACACACGGCTACCAGCCTACTATAGACAGATACCTCCACAGAAACACGGGAAAATACACAAAATTAGGTACAACAATTCGTTAGGCTGTGAATGTTACATTATTAAAAGTATTTCGATCGGTTTTTCGACGTTTTTCCAATCGATTTTCGGCGCGTACGGTAAAATTTTAACAAGAAACCAACCTGTTGCATCCATTTTAAGTGTTTTAAAAGTGAATTGTTTTATTTATGTGGCGAGAGGCATCAAGATCAACCTAATTCCAAGCAAAACAGAAGTTTAAATCGTACCCAAATACTCCACGACCGACGTTTTTATACTAAAAACTTTACATTTTTAAAATATTGTGATATTGTTTATTGTTGAAACAAAACTTTTTAAAGTGTGCATTAAAGTGTAACTGACATTTAGAAAGGTTAACTGGTTGCCTTTATGATATCGATAAATACAAATCTGTGATCCGTTCGATTGTAATACTGTTAGAACTGGAAATTTTTAAGTCATAATTCGGACATTTTCGCCAAAAATTTTGTCGTGCAACAGGTCAGACCAGCGATTCAGGATTTAACGGAACCAACAGGTGTCACGTGGCAATATGTCGGACTCTGTTTAATTACATCAATAAATATGCCATGCTAAGACGGTTTTATCGAAAATTCGAACCCTATGAGTATCAAAGGATTAAACATGATCGGGCCCCATTACATATGCGTCTTGTACGTGACGACGGCTGGTCTGCAGGGCCCCCTTATGGGGTCAGACGAGCAAGAGATCGTTCTTCTTATTTACGTTATTGTGGACGTTGTTCATAACAAGGTAAGGAGTATATTTATATTTGGATATGATAGAAGAGCTTTTTTATGTTTATTAATCCTCTGATTTTATACTGTCGCATTAATTAAATTTTGGTACTGAATCAGCGATTTATATTATATAAAACATCAAAATTTCTATTACATTTAAATTTTTTATCTGTTTATAATATCGTAAACCAGGCTGATAATATTCAGAAGTTATCTAGTTTTAGAAAACGTGTTAGATACACTAACAAAAATATTATCTTTATAAAAAGGTACAGACATTATGAAAAAGCAATATTTTCACCCAGTACCTAATTAGGTGTACCTAAGTAATACAGATATAGATAATATTTAGAAATTATCTAGTTTTAGAAAATGTTTTACCTACTAACAAAAATATTCTATTTACAAATAAGGTGTAAATATTTAGGTAAAAAGTGTCTATATTCTCACCCAAAAATTAGGTATTCAGGTACCTATGTAGGGTTTACCCTCGGGTTTCTCTTTTGCATTAAAAGTTCAAAGGAAATGATTTGAAGTTTTAGGGGGATTTAAACATTACTGTTTACTATTTAGACCAGGGTCGATAATTTTGAAAATGGTAAAAAGTGAAAAAAAAATTATGGTAGGATGAAACCCGTTAACACAGCACGAGAATATAACACAAATGAATGGAAAAATAATTTACGGGCGATCTGAGGTCCGGAAGTGGAAGGGTGTGAGTTTTTAAGGGTAAAAAACGGTGTATCTCGATTTCCGGCAAAACTACAAGTCCTATGGAAAAAAATTAAATGACAAAGTTGTAGGTAATAAAGAGACCTACAACTTTTGTAATTACACTTTTTTCACATAACCTCAAAATTTATGTGAAAAATTCAAATAATCAAGTTTTTGGTTTTTTATTTATATCTTATGCAAAAAAAAATTTTTTTACATGAAATTTGGTGAAAACTTACTTTTTTATGTCCTAAAGACACTGTAATTTTTTTGATTTGAAATATTTATTTTTTCACCTTATTTTGACTTAATATCGAAAAAACACCCTAATTTTCAATCGAAAATTCTCGCATCAAAGTATCAGCTTTTTAAAAAAAATCGGGGAGTTTTTTGTTCGTTGAAATCTCTTCTTTCTGATAATGTAAAAAAATATATACATTACTATGGTAAATGTTCTCAGAAAATGCAAAGAAAAGAAAAAACTCGAATCAGAAATTTTTTTTTAATCACTATGTACAATTTTGAGCTATTTAGTAAAATTTACACTTTAATTACTTGAAAAACGTAAGATTCTATGTTACATTGATAAAAAATCAGTTACTGTGACAGCAGCTACTTCAACTAAAAAATCTGATGTGTCCAACACATGACTTTCCTATCTAGTTATTACAGGCTTTTTCCGTTTATTGTGTACAACCTATTGCAGCATCTCTATAAATGTTTAGAGGATAAACTAAATATATATATACATTGTCCACATACATCTACCGCGAAACATTTTTCTATAGATATTCATTGAAAATGAAAATACTGAAAAATTTAAATTTAGCACTTTTCCTACAATTTTTCCATTACGGTCCATTTAAAAAAATCATGTATGAACAAATATTATAGAGATCGAAATCGCAAACAACTTTTATTTCAACAATTTTCATAAAAATTAGAATTTTGCACATTTTGTCAAATTTCTCGAATACGGACCATTTCAGGAAATTTTTACATAAGACAAAAATTATAGATAATAATATTAGAAGTAACTTTTATTTGAACAATTTTCTTCTCCAAACATAAATAACAGATATATTCCATAAAATATATAAACGGCCTCCCATAAAGTACCCCCCCAGATGTTCCGACTTTGTCCAAAATCTAATCATTTCACGTCAGGCCAAAATAAAACTTAAGTTTAAAATTTATTGATTTTTTCTTTATCCGTTTTTGAGTTTTCTTCAAATTTCGAAATTTACACATTTTCTCAAATATCTCGAATACGGTCCATTTAAGAGAAATTATCTATGGGACAAAAATTATAGAGAATTATATTACAAACAACTTTTGTTTGAACAATTTTTATAAAAAAAAATATTTTTTTACATTTTGTCAAATTTCTCGAATACGGACCATTTTAGGAAAATTTTGTAAATAACAAAAGTTATAGATAATAAAATAAGAAGTAACTTTTATTTAAAAAATTTTCTTCCCCAAACGTAAATAACAGATATATTCCATAAAATATAAAAATGACCACCTATAAAGTACCCCCCCAGATGTTCCGACTCTGCCCAAAATCTAATCAGCTCATTAGACGCTGGAATAAAGCTTAAGTTTGAAATTTGGTGTTTTTCCGTGTATCGGTTCATGAGTTATGCGTTATACAGACACACACACACACACACACAGACACACACACACACACACACACACACACACACACACACACACACACACACACACACACACACACACACACACACACACACACACACACACACACACACACACACACACACACACACACACACACACACACACACACACACACACACACACACACACACACACACACACACACACACACACACACACACACACACACACACACACACACACACACACACACACACACACACACACACACACACACACACACACACACACACACACACACACACACACACACACACACACACACACACACACACACACACACACACACACACACACACACACACACACACACACACACACACACACACACACACACACACACACACACACACACACACACACACACACACACACACACACACACACACACACACACACACACACACACACACACACACACACACACACACACACACACACACACACACACACACACACACACACACACACACACACACACACACACACACACACACACACACACACACACACACACACACACACACACACACACACACACACACACACACACACACACACACACACACACACACACACACACACACACACACACACACACACACACACACACACACACACACACACACACACACACACACACACACACACACACACACACACACACACACACACACACACACACACACACACACACACACACACACACACACACACACACACACACACACACACACACACACACACACACACACACACACACACACACACACACACACACACACACACACACACACACACACACACACACACACACACACACACACACACACACACACACACACACACACACACACACACACACACACACACACACACACACACACACACACACACACACACACACACACACACACACACACACACACACACACACACACACACACACACACACACACACACACACACACACACACACACACACACACACACACACACACACACACACACACACACACACACACACACAGACATCATCGCGAAAATAGTCAAAACGGATTCAGGGGACCTCAAAACGTAAAAATCCGTCGAAAACTCGAGGTCGAAAAAAATCATGATTCCTATACTTTCCTTATATCTGTATACAGATAGGAAAGTAAAAAGGAGAACGTAGTCTCGAACGTAGTCGTAGAAAAACCTCAGATAATATTCACAATATTCCAGAGTTTGATTATCAAAACCATACAAAAATATATATACCATTTCTGCAAGAAATTTTTTTATCTAACAAGGAAAAAAATAATAAAAACGTTAATGAAAAGATTACAGTCACAAGGATTTTCCTGTAAACAAGCAGAAGAAGATGCTGATGCAGACATTATTAAAACTTCGATAGAACTTGCCAGAGATACCAATAAAACTGTCATTGTTGTGGGTCAAGATATTGATCTTTTGGTCCTTTTGAATCAATTAACTTCAAACAATCATGACATTTATTTTCTCAAACCAGGTTCTGGAAATGTAAAAAATCTATTTTTCACGTCTAATAGTTTCAAGTATGAATCCTTCAAAAATATCGTTGCATTTCTGCATTGTTTTTCTTGTTGCGACACAACATCTGGATTTGCCGGAAAAGGAAAGAAGAGTATTGTAAATTCATTATTAAACGATAAAAGTGTGTCAAATTTGGCCAATATTTTTTATAAAAAAGATGCAAACAAAAAAGATACCGAAAAAATGGATTACAATTAATTGAATCTATTTATAAATGTAAAAATGATAATATAACACTGAATTAAGATTTCAAAAATATCAATTGGCAAAAATTAAATCATCTTTCATATTGGCAAATCTCCCACCCACAGAAAAGGTGCAGCAAAACAATATTGTTACAGGGCATATTATCAACTTCAAACTTGGCTAGGTAACGAACTGACAGCAACAGATTGGGGCTGGAAGCAACATCAACGTGGGATTATGCCCAAATTTACAGAGAAGTAGTTAATTCCGGAAATATTGCTCAAAACTATTTGCTGCAGCTGTGAAACTGGATGTAACAGTTTAAAATGTAGCTGCCGAAAACATGGCTTAAAATGAAGATTTCGAAGATCTACTAGAATCGGGAAGGTTTGTCGAATCTAACGATAAAGAAAGTAATGGATAAGTGATTAGGGTTCCAGATAAGATTTATAAATAAGAACATTAAGGGTCGGTCTTTTCACCTTCAGATAAAGTTCCAGATAACTAACTGACGGATATATTATCTGACAGTTACTGTCTGTCAGATAATTAATGTTCTGTTTTTTTAAGTAAATAATATGTGTGGTAGGTATCCAGTAGTTTTTAACCTTATATGGTTATGTAACTACCTGTTTATCCATCAGTGAAGTATTTTATTAGAAATTTCATGAATAAGATAATTTATCATTGAGAAGTTAGGTTTATCCAGAAGTGAAAAGATTACTTTTTAAGTTACTTGGGAGATAAAAATTACCTGACACTTTATCTGAAGGTGAAAAGACCGACCCTAATGCATTTTAAAATATTATTATGAATAATAATAATAATAATCAATATAAAGTATCTCAATTC